CCCACCCACCCTCCCACCCCTCCTCCCACCCCCACCCACACCCACCCCCCCACCCACACCCACACCCACACCCACACCCACACCCACACCCACACCCACACCCACACCCCAATTCACCCATATACATATATATATAATAAAATCTCTTATATATAAATATCAATAGTATTTGTCGATATCTTCGTCTCTATATGAATAAATTCGATCATTTGATGATATTCAATGAAAATTCAAATTCCACAATCACAAATTAATTCAACAATCAAAGTTCGATAGATATTCGATGATATTCAACTGTCGAAAACATTAGAAATGACGGGAACACATAAAACCACAAATCAACGATGAGAAATGTTGTGGGATAGCCCTATTCTATTATATATCATTCAAAAGAGTATGCTAAAATCAACAATTTCTTCGACTTTCGATCGAAGTTTTCAAACAAAAAAAAAGTCATTTTTGATCATTAATCCAAAACACCGGCCATATTTATAGTCAATCCAGTTTTGGTGTGGGTGAGGGTGTGGGTGGAAGTGACTGCAGGTATTCTCTTCTGTCATGCCGACACCCACATCCACACCCACACCTACACCCACTACATCATCACATGTTCATTCATTGACTGATTTATTTTCGCACGCAGTGGACAAGATTTCTATAGATTCTTTATTCTTTGATGTTGCATTCGAATTTAACTTTGAATTTTGATCATCGAACTTCGTGTCAATATGTTTCATTTCAGCCTCGAGCATGTCGAACGCTTTGTTAAATTCACGCTTCGTGAAATCGACATATATACGAGACCCAATGATAAAACCAAGCTAACTCTTAGCTTCATATTTCGCTTGAGCTATGATAGGTACGATATGACGTTGAAGAGCGTACGCATAATCGGCTTCATGATGACAAGCGTTACTACGTTCATAGTTTGCACTCATGCACAATACGATACCTTGGGAGTTTTCAATGGCATTAGCCATAGCTCTTACCGAGCTTCCGTGCATATTTTCCTCATCGAGCCATATTCGATATCGCTTGCTTCTTAGAAGCTCAAAGATTAGTTTACAAATTGTTTTCTCTGCCCAACAATAACTAAGCATTATATCGAATTGATAGTTTCCAGTAGAGGCGATGATTTTTGTTGGACACTTCAAAATATGAAGAAAATACACATTAGATAGAAACACAAAAAAAAACAATGAACGAAATATTAATGCTTGTCTAATCCAGTGTTTTTATTCTCAACATTTGACGATTGCTCAGATGATGTGCTCGTTTGGTTTCGTTGCTTTAAATTCCATAGAATGCCCTCTGCTGATCGTATTATATCTTTATCCAAAACTGATTTTGGATCGTCAACAAATGTTTGAAGTTGCTGCAAAAAAGTTTTGTGAAAATGAAATTTTTTATTCAAGCTTATATTGAATGAGAGTGTCCACAAGATATCATAAACAAGATTATAATCATCACTATTTGAAATAAGATAATCAAAATAATCAATTGATGTTGCTATATTTGTTTGAATTATCTCATTATGAACTAATGATGATAAAGCTCGAAAACGTAAGTATATCGACACTCGTTTGTAGCATTTATTTGATGATTGATGTGCCTGTCGAATGCCATCAAAATACAAAGCAGTTAATTCATCACTTGGAATCTTCAATTGTCGCATTGTTTCATCATCAAGTAATACTCCAAGTAACATGCACGCTTGTAAACGAAGTCGATCGCAATCAGCGCGCATATAATTATGAATTGCAGCTGCTGCATTATTCTGTTGTAAATATAATCGTATAGATGGTTCATTACTACAATTTTTCAATTGTACCATTAAAGTATCGGCAAGAATCGTGCTTTCATTTGTCCAAGTAGATAAAAGATTTTTTCGCACAAAATCAGGTTTTAACAATCGAAGAAGAACATTGAAATACTGATCATCGTTAATAAATGTTTTCACATTGTAACAATTCGTCATGAGTAAACATATTCCAGTGAGACATTTTGAATCACTTTCTATATCCTTTGATAATAGAAGATAATGACGAAAATCATCTAAGCGAACATCAAATATTTTCTTTCCAATATCTTCTACAATTTGATATGATTGAATAGTCTTCAAAGTATTTTCAAAAGATAATTGATTACATTGTAAAACACCCGTAACAAAGGAACACGTACGAATAAATAAGTGACGAGCAGGAATATTCGTTTCTGTTGATACTTTCAAATATTTTCGGTACCAATCAGAAAGAACACATGATAATACATTCTGACGAAGTGGTTCAATCAATTCTTTAATTAAATTATCATGACGATGAATAAAATGAACGATTGCTTCTAGCCAGATGCATAAAGAGAACACAAACATCATGTCGATGAAAACGATCGTCAGCACAAAGCATATTGATAATCGTAACAAGATTTCGAAAAATATCAACATTTAATAAAACTTGAATTTGAACATTTATTTGTTCATTATCATTTGTGTTTTTAGTAGCGATCGATTGATTAAACAAACCGACTTGTTCGATGTATTTTAAATGATTTTGAGTATTGTTATTGTCGATATCTTTCTGACAATCTTGTAAAAGGTGTAATGTTGTTTGTTCAATAAAAATTAACAATGAAGTGACATCTGATGAACATAAAATATCGTCAATATTAACAGATTGCAAAGCATCAACTGCTTCATTCAATTGATTGCTTTTGACTAACTCATAAATGTAGAAAACTTGCTCTTGTATTCCACCATTCGTCATGTTCCAATAACTAATTTATTCTTGTTCAGATTTTTCAATGAGAAATGATCCAGAAACAAAACAAACGTGTCATTCTCTTTTCATTCTGTTTGTGTTGCCACGTTTAGGAATTTATTTAAACAGAGAAGAAAAAAAAATGATGTTGATCAATCAGAATGAATTCTCGTAATACTGTCAGCTTTTTCTTCATCTTTCAGCATTATTTTTATTGACATTGTTGTGTTCTAATTTATTAGGAATTAGTTTTTTTTTCTTTTCTCCACCAAAATCAAATACTCTCTGCGCTCTTGACTGACGTCTACTCTTACGCTATAGCGACGGGTGATATAAGATGTACACAATGCATATGAAACATAACTATCATACGCTACTCGTAGAAACTGTTATGTTTTTCTTTTTTTCTTCAGTTGGCTCATTTATATGTACTGTTAAAAACCAAAGAAAATTATTCATTGTTATGGAATCAAAGGCTCTGATGAAGAAAATTAGTTTGAAATATTTAAAATTTGTGTATGTGTCTGACAGGTGGGAAAACGTGAATAATATTCAAAACAAAAAGTAATGAAATATATAAACAAAAAAAATAAATCAAATATATATTGATTTTTTGTTATTGTTCTTGGAAATTACGCGTAAATTCTCTGATGAATTTTTGAAGAGAAACCTGATGTGTCAAACTCAAATACTTCGAATAAACAACAATGGATGTAGGTGTGGTGTGGCTGTGAGTTTCAGTATGAACGTATTTCTAGTCATGTGCACACCTACCCCCACGCTCACATCCTTACTTACTCACAGTTGCCCACATCCGAACATCTATACGCGAAGAAATCCTTCTAGTTGACTTTTTCTGTTGTTAGGGCGTAGATTTTCTTTTTTTTCAATAAAAGAAAAAAAATAATATATTTATCTTTACATTTTCGGTATTTTTCAAGAATAAAGAATTTATCTTTATTTTCTAAATATAGAGATTTTGTTTATATTTATTCTTTAATTTAGAGGTTAATAAAGATAAAGTAACACACCTATTTCTGATATTAAAAGTTACTATTATGCTGATTCGATACACTAACAACACACTTATAACCTAATAGTTTCCAAAATATTTTTTTCTTAGATGTATTGCATTAAAGTTGCTAGACCACAAGAATAGTTTGTTTTCATGTACAAGATTTCAATCAAGAAATACTGCGTTCAAAGAAAAGAAAATAATACAATAAAATAGTATGGTTTCTCTTTTCTTTTTATCCTTTCTTTCTGTCTTTTACCATACCAATTTATTCTATTTTGAATTCTGATGATGACAACCATACGAGTCTAAATTAATATTCTTCATATTTTCAATGCTATACTGCTTGAATTCGCTCATCATTGAAGGTATAGTCATACAATAGACTTAGATGTCACTATTTAAATGGTATGAAAACTACCAAGTATTAAGTCCAGTATTATAATGAGAAAAATTGAAAAGAACCTTCAAAGTTGAAATGACATGATTAAATCATTTTTGTTTTTGTGATTATTACTTAGTTTTATGCTCTAGCAACTTAGAATGCATGTACGATCTAAATGTGAACTAAATCAAAGCTAAAAGAAGAAAAATTTTCATTTTATGTAGTGATATAAAGTCTACATTGAGGCAGATTTAATGTCGTACTTGCAGTAACATTAGAATACAAGAAAATAGACGCTTCGATTCTGTCACTTGAATGCAAAATTGTATACAAATCTAATGAATGTCGTGAATAGATATTCTGCAAGGAAGAGATGACTGCTTAGGAATTTAATGAGTCATTTTTCTTGATAGATCGAAATATTTCCTTCTCTATCATGTTTTATGATGGCACAGTCGTGCGTTACAGATTGCGAACTTTGTTTTACGGTCTGAAATTCAGTGCTATTCGGACTTCCTGTCGAAAGCAGTAGGATTAATGTATAACGAAGCTATAGTGGATTTACAGCGAACTTCTCTTAGGGTTTTTTATATTCAATAAGTCTCAGCTAAATGAGTCTTTACACACGATGAGTATGTAGTAGATCATATTTATATCTTTTTCTGTGCATGTTCATCAATGTGACTTGCTATTTTGATGGTTGCTAGTTTCTAATTGATTTTAAAGGTTTCAATACACAATAAACTTTAAGCTGTTATTTATCTTCACATAAATCAAATAAAATAAAGGAAAAAAACAATAGATATTTGCTTTTTATTCTATATCTGTCTTATTACTTTCAACGTGGAAAGAAATCAACGTATGGGGGCTGATCGTATTTTTTTGCAATCTAGAAGAGAGAGAAGCCCATTCATTGCTTAGCTATCAAATTCAATCATCGTCAGAATGCACTTCTAAATTAACAATGCTCTTGCATTGGATGAAAAATTTTATGATTGAAAATAATAAGCAAAAATGTATTGCTTCGTACATTTTATTTAGTCGAGTGTATAATTCAACAACATTTATTTATCAACGGCCATAATCATGAAGAATGTACCTGTTACGAAAGTGAAACGATTGACGCGAAATTCCTTTAGGAAATTTCATGTCGATCAAGCCCAGCCAAAAAGCGAACCTCAAAATGTTCCTAGACAATCCAGTAAATTAAATGAAACTTCCAAAAAATTACAATTGAAGGTATTGGGAGAAATAAAATTTCCAAAGATTCTCATTCTAAATATTATTTCGTGGTATTTCATGTTTCTAACTAGTACATGTATTGTTCTCCTGCTGGAATGATAATTCTTATGAGAACATCGATAGAAATGTATCTCGAGCAATTGTTTATGATGAACCTTTCGTAGAATAGTAGTTAAACTAATCCATAATCGCATACATACTTTCAAAACCTTTTCGAAAAAGTCTGCCTGGTAATAGATCTCAATCTTCAAAACATCAAATGCATCCGAATGATTAGTTGGAATCTAGTATAAACCACAATTACGGCCTATTACAATTCATTCCAAAAACAAGATTAAAATCTTCAATGCTTTTTCAAATTAGGAGTTTTTTTCTCCAACATCCTTATCTAGCGATAACTTTTATATACATTTTCAGTCAACACAAAAATTAGAGATCTACAGAATTCTGAATAGACAAAGCTGGATAAATATTAAAGTCGAAAATCACAAGCTGCCTTTAGCCAATAGATTTTCTCATCATATTTGGATTAAGATGCATATGAGGCAGTTAATATTTAACATGGGTACATGATTTTTAAATCAGTCTATAAGTTTCCTTGTCTATTATCATATTAAAGAAAAAGTAAAACTCCTTAAAAATTTCTCAGAAAACAAGAAGAGATATCTATGTTTCGGAAAAGTCTATTCGAATTAATAATATTTCGACTACTCGAAACAAGATTCATCTTTCAAATAACTGTTACATTGTCTTACAATCTCACACTGACAGCTGTATCAACATAGAAACTACATCTACTTCTAGTATTATCTGTGAGCTGGATGTCAAAGTAAAATGATAGAACGAGTAAGAATGATGCTCTGAATGGATCCTATTGAATGGGGTCGACTACTCTAGTTTTTAACTGCCAAGTAAGAAATGTCAACCAGCTAGTAATTCGATCTCTCCGGCATATCTTACATACCAGTATTTGTTGATAATAAAACTCTGTTATTGATTATAAAAATGTTCACAGAAGTAGTAGTATTTGGTTTACTAAATTTTTTTAGCAAAATTTGATTACATGATTTCAACGGATGCCAAGCAATCGAATATCATGTTCTCAATTTCATGTGTCACACATCCGTCTAATAATTATCTATAACGACTCAGTAAATCAGTGACGGAACTACAGCATTGAATATACAAAATATGAGCGAAGTCATCATATCAAGAACCAATAGATCTAAACCAAGGGGTAACTGTAAAACAAATACTGACTTTATCTCCGTCCGAAGAGCAATACTCATTTACTTGACATTAGTTCTACCTTGATTTTCGTGTAGAAAGTTAGTTGTTGCAAAAATAATAATATTTTCATCTTGTTATTTTCTTTACGTATTGGTTTGAATGAAAAGTTGCTGTAGACTTGTGACTGGTCTTGCAAAATTCAAGATAGTATCAGTTCAAAATATCAAATACTATTTGCCTGAATAACTTCCATGTATCTGAATGAAAGACTAAAGATCCACTTCCACGGTTTCGATTGAATATTATAAACACGTTCTCTTATGTGAAATGACATCAATACTATCTTTATAGTAACTGATCTACATGACGTTGCTACTTCAATCCTTTCATTCTAGAATTAATTGCGAACATTTGATTGAGATATCGATTGCTTGAGTTAGAAATATCATATAACCAGATGTAGAAAACTAATTATGACAAGAATCGTGAGACTGAATAATTAATATTTATGTGTAAGAATACTTTCAAGAGCTGTCAGCACATTTTTTTTAGAATTATTTTTTATTCAATCAGTCACTTTTAAATACCAATGAGTTTTGTTGTCCATATTCACGCTAAGCCGTGCTGAATGGAGGCTCAATAGTCTTTTTATTAACGTCCTTAGTTCTCACTCAAACCTTTTGAACGCTATTCGTATTTAGCCAGTCACAATGATAAATTTATGTTGAGTTTATATTTTTATTTAC